CCGGATTGGTTGTGTGTGACCAAAATACAACCAATCTCCAGCTGTAAGACAACATGAGTTGATGAAGACGCAAATTAACTGTAAGCTTCCAGATTGGTTGTGTGACCACCATAACTGTAAACTTCGATGAAGACGCCAAATTAACTGTAAGCTTCGGATTGTGTGTGTGTGACCAAAATACAACCAATCTCCAGCTGTAAGACAACATGAGTGAAGACTTCCATAACTGTCTGTGAGACCAAAACTGTAAGACAACATGAGTTGATGAAGACGGAACATAACTGTAAACTTCCGGATTGGTTGTGTGAGACCAAAATACAACCAATCTCCAGCTGTAAGACAACATGAATCGATGAAGACCAATTCTGACCCAGATATTACAGTGACAGACCATATGACAAGTCGTCACATGACAGGTCATCATCTCTCCTAGTGAATCTGTGTTTACATATGACCTATTTTTGGATTGATTGTGGTCAAATTGATTTTGCATAAATCAGAGTTATCATCCTTAACCTCATCTTTAGCTCTAGTCATCTGACCTTGACCTAGTTATTATCAGCCAATTGGTCTTGCTATTTAACTGGTTCTGTGGTGAAGAATACATTTGCTATCCATCATCATTTGTTGAGAGTAATTATCTTGATACTGAAACTGATAATAGAAAATTACAATCGACGAGAAGATATTACACGATCCATCTCATCTCTGTTCAAATGTAGTATCGGTTGAAATATCATCAGTGGTGGTTTGTGGTCTTGTTTCTGGTGGTTTGTGGTCTGAGAGTTTCTAGGACTTCAGTCCTGCCCCACAATGAAACACATGTGGTCTCACCTTAGGTAAGGGAGTTTGTTCAAAATTGCCTCTGTTCATCCAGCCTCTGTTCATTGGCTACGGCCTCCGTGGTGTAGTGGTTAGAGCGCCTGCCCGAAGAATAATTAGCTGTCGGAGGTCGTGCTGGTTCGATCCCGACAAAACGTCATATCAAAAGACGTTAAAATGTGGTACTTGTTGGTCCCTGCCTGGTGCTCGGCATAAATAGGTACAACAAGGACTGGTCGGCTCAGAGTCAGTATAATGTGTCTGAGTGGGGTATTCATGCTTCACTGCGGCATGGTATCTCAGTGGGCTAGCACTATAAAACCACCTTAAGTTTGGGCTAGTACAAGCAGCCGCACATACACATACACACGCATGCACGTCGTCATATGAGCAAAATATTCTCCAGCGCGACATTAAACCCAATTTCACCTCACCTCACCTCACTTCAGAAGTTTGTGAAGAGTAAGAACTGACCAGTAACCCATGCTTGTCGTGAAGCGCGACTAACAGGATCGGGTGGCGAGGCACACTGACTTGGTTGACACATGTCATTGTATCCCACTTGTGGAGATCTATGCTCATGATATCAATCACCAATAATCCATAGATGTGTTGTATCATTCACATATATACTGCCCGTACACACCATACCCATGAAGATCCGGGTTAGAACTGATCAGTAACCCATGCTTGTCGTAAGAGGCAACTAACAGGATTGGGTGGCGAGGCACACTGACTTCGTTGACACGTCATTGTATCCCACTTGTGGAGATCTATGCTCATGATATCAATCACCAATAATCCATAGATGTGTTGTATCATTCACATATATACTGCCCGTACACACCATACCCATGAAGATCCGGGTTAGAACTGATCTTCAGTAACCCATGCTTGTCATAAGAGGCAACTATCAGGATCGGGTGGTCAGGCTTGCTGACTTGGTTGACACATGTCATCGTATCCGAAGTGCGTAGATCGATGCTCATGATCTTGATCACTGTCTTGATAAACTGCCTATATTTAATGTCTTACACTGTTTATATGAACTGCCAATTGAGTGCACATCCATGTCTTGCTGACAACATTGAAAATCTCTTTTAGGAAAGTCTTTAAAAAATTAATATGCGGTATAATTTGTGTTAATTTTGTAAAAAGATATGACTACTTAACATTTCTATGGAAACACATTTTCAAGATATAACAATTCTTTGCAATCTCAGTTATGAATTTTTCATCAACCACAAGAAGATTCAGGTGAGAACTACAACCACAGAGGGAAATTTCATCTCAAATGAGAGTACTCATAAATTTCCAATAATTATTGCCTTTATCAGAACAAAATGTTTCCAAATGTCGGATAATGTGTTTGACGATAAAATATTTGAAGCAAAAGAGGTTCAAATAATCTATGTGTTTTAACTTTTTGATGGAATTTGTAAATTCATTATCAATAATTCCTGGAAATGTCCCTTTGATCCTTGCTGGAAGTATGGGCAATAATGGGTTTGGTTTGAAAATGACAGTTATGACAGCGTGGATAATGATAACTGATAGTGCACAATATGCCAAACGTTAACGTTTCCCTAAACTTGAACCAAGAATACAGGATGTTCATAATAGGTGTTCATTTAACATCTGAAATCTAAAACCCGTGAAGGTCCGGGTTAGAATGAGCCTTCAGTAACCCATGCTTGTCCTAAGAGGCGACTAACGGGATCGGGTGTTCCCTGCTCGCTGGCTTGGTTGACACATGTCATTGGTTCCCAATTGCGCAGATCGATGCTCATGCTGTTGATCACTGGATTGTCTGGTCCAGACTCCATTATTTACAGACTACCATCATGTAGCTGGAATATTGCTGAGTGCGGTGTAATGCTAAACTCACTCACTCACTCACTCTGAAATCTGAAATTTATCATGCATGATGCTCTACACATATCACAGAAATTAATTATACATGTTAATGATTTTCCAGTTGCTATAGCATCAATGTTAATTGAGTTTTTCATGTATTCATACATCCTGTGATAAAATACTTTCCCTTGAGTGAGTGAGTTTGGTTTTACGTGGCTTTCAGCAATATCACGGCAGGGGACACCATAAATGGGCTTTACACATTGTACCAATGTGGGAAATGGAACCTGGGCCTTCGGCGTGATGAGCCAACGCTTTAACCACTAGGCTATCCCACTGCTCCACTTTCCCTGGAGATCATCCTAGCTTTAAAATACATCCTGTAGATGCTTGTTTTAAAGTTCATCAATGTGTGAAGATCTTTGGTTGGAACCGATCTTCAGCAACACATACCTGTGGTAGGAGGCGACTAAGGTGGTGAAGCAAACTGACTTGCTTGACACATGTCATCATATCCCAATTGTATAGATCGATGCTCATGATATCAATCACCAAATAGCAATTTTTTCATAATCTTGTACCCAAGTGTACGGGATGTGCATTATAGTCATGGTCAAGTGGGCACCAAATATAGCACCTGAGTGTGGTGAGGTGAGGTGAAATTGGGTTTAACGTCGTGCTTGAGAATATTTCGCTCATATGACGACGTGCATGCGTGTGTATGTGTATGTGTGGCTGCTTGTACTAGCCCAGACTGAAGCTAGTTTTATAGTGCTAGCCCACTGAGATACCATGCCGCAGTGAAGCATGAATACCCCACTCAGACACATTATACTGACTCAGAGCCGACCAGTCCTTGTTGTACCCATTAATGCCGAGCGCCAGGCAGGGACCAACAAGTACCATATTTTAACGTCCTTTGGTATGACGCGGTTGGGGATCGAACCCGCGACCTTCCTCTCTCCGGGCAGACGCTCTAACCACTACACCAAGGAGGCGGTCAGCACCTGAGTAGGGGCGGCGGGGTAGCCTAGTGGTTAAAGCGTTGGCTCATCACACCCAAGGCCCGGATTCGATTCCCCACATGGGTACAACGTGTGAAGCTCATTTCTGGTGTCTCCCACTGTGATATTGCTGGAATATTGCTAAAAGTAGCGTAAAACTAATAAACTCACTCTCTAGCACCTGTGTGTGGTCTGTTCATGGTTGGTATTTATTAGGTCCTCAGCAGGCCGTAATCATGTGCAGCTACATACATATGCATGCATATTGTGATGTAAGTGAAATGTATTACACATGTTACATTTGATCAATTTCTAAATGGCATTATGTATTCATAACTTTCGGCCATGGGAGCCGTGCCAATTTACAATTACCAGAAGGATACACAGCATCTATGGCTCGACTACCAGTTGTTTGACTTCGATTTTTGTGGAAGTTGCGCAGGCTGAGTGGGTTAGACAGCCAACTTTGTATGCTGGCGATTAGGCACCTGACTCCCTGACTCGGAGAGTCTGGGTTTGAATCACGGATGGGACTCAACCCAACAAAAACACTAGAATCTGTACTTTAGTGTAAGTTAAACTGAACCATTGATTATGTCTGATGCTTTTATCAGACAAGTTACTAATCACTGCAAATACTTGACAATGACCTTTAGCTCCAAAATGACCTTAAATTGAATGTTTAATATGTAATGTTTTCCTATAATATCTGCTGTTTCTTCTGAAGTGATGAAGTATTAGCAAGTATCATTGATAGATGTATGTTGCAACATCACGCTACACTTTGAAAAAAGTTGTAAGAATTTTTGTATTTCACAAATATGTCTTCAAAATAATGATCAGGTTTTTAAGAAAGAAGATCTTTATTTTTTCCTCTTTTACAGATCTTTTCTCTCTTATAGAAAGTAGTTTTTACAATCATTACTTTAAAAACAGATCTATAGAAAAGGAAAATAATTGCTGATGATACTCTTAAGTTGGGGTTTAATGACGGCCTCGGAAGAGCTTGATTTCATAGGTGGACCATTAATAAATCCAATTACTAGGAAACTAAGGCACTTATGTATCGTCCCAAACGTGAATACTAATCAGTTAGTGTATGTTATGTATCTGTATTTTGTTAATCAAAGCAAAAAGATTTTCTAAGCTTTAGTAGCTGAATAATGTAAGATTTGGAAGGTGATTCTGTCAGTCAGAATTCATTAATATTTAATCAGTTGTTAGGGAGATGTCGTCCATAGGCTGAGTGATTGTCAGTCACTTCCGTCAGGATAAAAAAGGACAACATAATTGTATTTAAACCTTTTTTGTTTGCAGATTGAAATTATTCTGAATGGAACCAGGAAAGGAAGCAAGACGTTCAATTTAACGGATGAGACCATGCTCGGTGGAGACACAGCTTGAAAGGTAATAAGATTAAGATAAAGAATGTCATCAATCAAATAATATTCTGTGGTAATGATTATATGGTGTTATCACAGTTATATTACTCAAGTGAAATTAAGGAACACTTGATTCTTTCATATTACTATGTATAGTCTGTCATGGCTCAACTTCTTCAGTATAATGCCCATTCCTGGTGTCCCCCGCCGTGATATTGCTGGAATATTGCTAAAAGCGGCGTAAAACTAAACTCACTCACTCACTCTTCAGTATAATGAGTGAGTGAGTACCAGTCTCAGTAAACTTAGACTCAGTATTATTCGTTACACTGCTATACTGAGTCTAACAAACCCTAGGAGAAGATCGTGTCTGCTAACCTTTGAACGACCTATGACCGACCAATCAAACATGAGACAGCAGAATGAATTTAACAAATCAGACAACAATTACTTGTTTGGGTTTGGCGGGACTTACAAAATGGTTTTTTGGATTTTCTCTTCCCTGGTCGCTGACACTGATCTATCAACAAGCGTAAATCCGCATAAAACACAGATATTTGACCTGCAGTATATACGCTTAGGGGCTTTTAATGGCATGGTTACTATTAGCCTATATTTCTGCATGATAACATCCTTGAAAATTGACAAAAACGCTATTTTCAGTTTACTCATTGCGTCCTCAATGTGTATCAATCGGAAGCGATCGTTCAAACGGTATGTGCGAATGTTAACTTTCATGATTTGGTAAGCTATGTTCTGATTGGTCAGTCCAAAAGTTTAGCTGACGCGACCTTCTACTAGGGTTTGTTAGACTCAGTATAGCAGTGTAACGAATAATACTGAGCCTAAGTTTACTTAAACTGGAGTGAGTATGGTTTTATGATGCTTTTAGTAATATTTCAACAATATCAAGACGGACGACACCAGAAATGGACTTCACACATTGCACCCATGTGGGGAATCTAACTCTTTGGTGTGACAAGCAAATGCTTTAACCCCAACTGCTCCTCAGAATAGTATAGAAACATTTGACTATTACCATCAATATCAATGCAAAGTGTCATTTTCATCATCACTATCATGATATTTATTATCATTAAGTGCACAATTATCATCATCATCATCATGTCAATATCATCATCATTGTTGCTGTCATCGATGTCAGTGCAGTTGTTGATGTCGTATTCATCATCATCAATGTCATTGTCATCATCATCATCATTGTTGTTATCATCCTCAATGACATCTCAGTTGTTGATGTCATCATCATCATAATCAATGTCATCTCAGTTGTTGATGTCATCATCATCATCAATGTCATCTCAGTTCTTGATGTCATCATCATCATCATCATCATCAATGTCATCTCAGTTGTTGATGTCATCATCATCATAATCATCAATGTCATCTCAGTTCTTGATGTCATCATCATCATCATCATAATCAATGTCATCTCAATCCTTGATGTCATCATCATCATAATCAATGTCATCTAAGTTGTTGATGTCATCATCATCATCAATGTCATCTCAGTTCTTGATGTCATCATCATCCTCAATGACATCTCAGTTGTTGATGTCATCATCATCAATGTCATCTCAGTTGTTGATGTCATCATCATCCTCAATGACATCTCAGTTGTTGATGTCATCATCATCATCAATGTCATCTCAGTTGTTGATGTCATCATCATCATCATCATCAATGTCATCTAAGTTGTTGATGTCATCATCATCAATGTCATCTCAGTTGTTGATGTCATCATCATCATCATCATCATCAATGTCATCTCAGTTGTTGATGTCATCATCATCATCATCAATGTCATCTCAGTTGTTGATGTCATCATCATCATCAATGTCATCTCAGTTGTTGATGTCATCATCATCATCATCAATGTCATCTCAGTTGTTGATGTCATCATCATCATCAATGTCATCTCAGTTGTTGATGTCATCATCATCATCAATGTCATTGTCATTATTGTTGTCATCATCATCATTTCAACATCATCATCATCATCATCATTGTGGTCATCATTAATGTCACCTCAGTCGTTGATGACGTCATCATCATTACCATCCATCATCTTTTTTCCCTAAGTGGGATTCTGAGGCAAAATATGTCCTCCATGTAAGCATCAACATGACAGCTTGAAACACTGCTCCCGATGATCACACCCTGTCAGCTGGCTGTACATGACCTGATGGTATAGATAGTTGGTAGAGCATTAACCTGTGATACTCCTGGGCCACACTCAATTATTTAGAGGCCACACCGATTTAGCTGGAATAATGTGATACGCAAAACAACAGTCACTCACACATCGCTGTTATTATTGTCATTAGGTTGCTTGTTTTCATGACACATATAGTCAGAGAAATGGGTCATGTCAGCCTTTGATCTTACACTCACTAGGCCGTTGGCGTATCCATGAAGAGTTATGCCCCACGGACGATGCCATCTCTAGTCAGTACTGGAACTCCCTCGGGGAACTATGTACAAGTGCACTAGGGAATCAGGACAAACCTGTAATGTTTCATCCGTTATCCGATAATGAATAATAATAAATGTTTGTGAATGTTTATGTTTGTGCATGTGTGCATGGAGTGAGTGAGGGACTGTTTGATCTGGATGCTGTACTGATGGTACATCTCCTCCAGGTCAAGTTCCTTGAAAGAGATCTGCAAACAGAACATAGATGTAGCTTGTTGGCATCCTGACTGACCAGTGTAATCATTGACATCTCATTACAATAACCAATTTGGACCAAATGTTCATTTTGAGTAAAGGTCAATCACATTCAATATAACTAGTAATTTGACATGACTGTAGTGTCAGAAACACAGGAGGTGGTCAGGCTCGCTGACTTGGTTGACACATGTCATCATATCAGAATTGCGTAGATTGATGCTCATGCTGTTGATCACTGGATTGTCTGGTCCAGACTCGATTGTCAGAAACACAGCCAGAATGTCTTCTAGGCCAATCTGGGGCGGTGGGGTAGCCTAGTGGTTAAAGCGTTGGCTCGTCACGCCGAACACCTGGTTCGAATCCCCACATGGACAAACAAGGGCGCCGAACACCGGTTCGAATCCCCACATGGGTACAATGTGTGAAGCCCATTTCTGGTGTCCCCAGCCGTGATGTTGCTGGAATATTGCTAAAAGCGGCATAAAACCAAACTCAGTCAGTCAGTCTAGGCCAATCCCTGTTTTCATCCTCACAAAAACAAACATTCCAACAAAACTTTCATTTATAATAATCTTTTGGTATGATATATATATATCAATGGTTCACATGAATCTGCTTTTAAGGTGAGTGAGTAAGTGAGCGAGTGAGTGAGTGAGGTTTTAACAAAAAAAGTGTGTTTGCTTGTTTGTGCATGGGTTCCATATGTGTTTCTGGAAGTGTTTCTGTGTCTGCACATGTTTGTTGTGCCTGTTTGTGCATGTGTGCCTGTAGTCTTGTGCCTGTTTGGGTTTGTGTCTCTGTGTCAGCTGTTTGTATGTGAGAGTGAGAGTGTAGATCCCTTTTGTGTGCGAATACAAACAATTGTTTGACTTGAAGCACTCACTGTGAAAACTGTCTCAGACAACAATCCCAGGCCACCAGCATATATATGTCAGTGTGTTGCTAAAACTGCTGCTGTATGGAAACAAAACACTTGACATCATGCTAAACACAACACAAAAACCTTAAAACTACAGACAGCATGTTAATCTGAAAATAAACTTGCCACCTTGAGATTAAGTGTTCTAAGGATCATCACAAAGGACACTTCCATTTTCCATGGATTATTGTCCGACATATGATGATCTAAGTGAGTTGGGGCCAGTGGGGTAGCCTAGTGGTTAAAGCATTTGCTTGTCACACCAAAAGACCTGGGTATGATTCCCCACGTGTACAAATGTGTGAAGCCCATTTGTAGTATCCCTTGTCTAGTATTCCATTCCATTGATATTGCTGGGAGAATTTCTAGTGCCCTCTGCCGTTCTATTGATAGAATACTGCTAAAAGCAGCGTAAAACCCAACTCACTCACTCACTCGCTGTGTGAATCAGGACAAGCTGTTCTTGTTCTTGTTTATTTGGTATGCAGGTGTACTTATTAATTGATGTTTGTGATATATTCTTGAAATATTTCAGATAATATGGTACACAAAACGAGATAATCAAAATTGCAATCAATACATATACAGTTGACCGTCTGCAACTTTCTGCATGGCCTTGTTGAAGGTTATATCACATAAGATAAGAGGCATGTTGTTCATCTCAACACTAAATGGAGTCAAGATGAGAAAAACATATTTGTAACATTCCAATAATTCATTTTATTTATCACAGATACAAGTAACCACTTCCATGTCAAGAGGTTGTTTTGAATGAACGGCAAAGGTCAAGGACTTTCCTCTGGGGATTCCGAGTGTCCAATCTGCCTCTCCGCATTCTCACAATGGAAGTCACGAGCCCGAAGGCATGTGAGAGTTTTTTCAGCCTCACATCAGTTGCCGGCAGCCGGACGCAGCTGGTCAAGGGGGCAGAGGAAGAGAGCACTACCAGAAAATCTTCCTCTGAAGACGTCCCCCTCAAAGAGATGAAGGTAAAACTCTGGTTCTACTTGTTGCATTTTCTTATGAAATTAGTATAAAATTCAAATGAGTGGAGGATGCAAAAAGTAATTTTCAATATCTTCATGTGAAAATGTCTTAACTTAATAAGGTGGAAAGCTGAGGTGGTTCACGGGAATTTTCTCCAAGGCCATTGATGTTGAGAACATCTTGTGAGAGCTTAAGAGATTTGGTAGAATCTGTGGAAATTACTGCGGCACAAATTCTTGATGTTTTCACCATTTATGTGCCATTCTGGCTAGATCAAGGACCAGGTAAGGGTATTCCTATATGCTGATATTTTTACCAAGACAGCAGAAAATGTTTAATTGATTGACTGATTACAGATAAGTGATGACAATTTTTATGAAATTGTTGCGATTCTCTTGATTTTTGGTTTTGATGGAAAACTGAATTGTTGCTCATGATATCAACCCTTGGTTTGTCTAATCCAGATTTACGGTCTGTGTTATGGTTGTTAGTTGTTTCAAGCAAACAACATACTGAGGCAAAGGCAGCTAAACTAGAGGGACAGAAAACCCAGTGACTGACAGCATGAGCATCAAATTGTCCTTTCAATAGTGTTGTTGATTGACTGATGATGAAAAAGGACTCAGTTAAGGTTTCTTATGAAGGGAATCTTCATACTGACGTGTTATTTCAATATGTAAATAAAAGCCTTTCCGAAATTGGAAGAAGTTTCTACTAAAAGTAGCAATCATTGTGTGATTCCAAATAAATCATACACATGTGTTTATGAATCACCATCAAATAGTGTTTGTAAAATCAAGAGTTTATCCTGCCCCCCACATCACAAACACATGCAAAGGCATGTTAAGTTTTTGCTTGAGCAAACACAGGGGTATAAATCAAAACGAATGACATTTGGACACTGGAGCATCAAAATATGGAAATATCCTCCCCTTGTGTACCATCCAACTTTTTGACAACTATACTGAGTCATGGCAGGGGGTAGCCTTGTGGTTAAAGCATTCGCTTGTCACATGGGTATAATATCCCCACATGGGTACAATATGTGAAGCCCATTTCTGGTGTCCCCACCATGATATTGCTGGAATATTGCTAAAGGCGGCATAAAACTCACTCACCCACTCACATTACTGAGACCTTGAGTCTAGTGACCCAGATAAAAAAGTTTTGAATATTTCCGTGAAATGGGCATGCTCAATTGTACCTCAACAGGCAGCTGTGTAGCCTAGTGATTAAATCGTTTGCTCGTCACGCCAAAGACCTGGGTTCGACCCACATTTCTGGTATCCCTTGTCTTGATACTGCTGGGAGAATTTTCTAAAGCAACGTAAAACTGTGATCACTCACTCATTCATGATTGCACATCAAAAGTTCGAAATGTAAACACCAAAGGTTGGAGCCATTGGAACAATACTCAACTAAAATTAAAAGTCTAGTATTGGAAAGTTGAATTCATTATTCTTCTTGTACAATCTTGTTTAATTTTGTTGTCACTGGGAATCTCTGAACATCAATTTAAACATGTTTGTTTGTTGTTTAACAGCGTTGTTTAACAGCAGCAATATCCCAGCTATATGTAAATAATCAGTCTGGACCAGAAAACCAGTGATTAACATCATGAGCATCAATCTATGCAATTAGGATACGATGACATGTTGCAACCAAGTCAGTGAGCCTGACCACCCGATCCGTTAGTTTCCTTTTACAACAAGCATGGGTTGCTGAAGACCATTCTAACCCGGATCTTCACGGGTAGTTTAAACATGAAACAGATGAGGTTGTCTGATTGCTCTCCTGTTTTTCTGTTTCATTTTGGTAACTTAGTGCAAAGAAAATGACTATTTAACAATTACCGAACAACATCAAATCATCAATATACATCATTAACTTCAACTCCCTTGTCTTATGACCATGTATATTTTTTCCAGTCTAAGCAGAATTTCTGATTCATAAATGATGTGCTATTATTTCACAGAGGAATTGCTGTAGAAATTCTGCAGACCTAATGCCACTTGTGTTGCTTTTCTGTAATGAAATATTGCAAATTACAAATACATCAGTACATCAAAGGCTATGTACAGACCCATGAAGATCCGGGTTAGAATTGGTCTTCAGTAACCCATGACTTGGTTGACGCATGTCATCATATCCCAATTGTTCATGTTGTTGATCCCAATTGTGTAGATCGATGCTCAGGCCAGACCAATTTTATTTCTTCTTGTTCGGATCCGGCGGTCATATTTTTTCAAGAATAAGAACAAAAATAAACATTTGTTTTCCCCGCTCAAAAAATAAAATCCTAATAATAATCAGCGTGAAACCTAAACTCACTCAACTTATATCTAGTTGATATAAACAAACCAAAAGAGTTAACATGGAAATTCATGTGGGTTTTGCTTTGACTGGTGATTTTTTTTTTCCCCTCCTGCCTTTAGGTTTTCTGAAGACAAATATCTGTAAAACAAGAAATAAAATTGGTCTGGCCTCATGATGTTGATCACTGAATTGTCTGGTCCAGACTCGATTATTCACAGACCACCACCACATAGCTGGAATATTGCTGAGTGCGGCATTAAACAACAAACTAAGCCATGTACAAATTGTGGCTTCACTGGAATCTGATCCAAGTGCTAGCTGTGGTTACACATTGATCCTGGACATGTCATCAAAGATCACATCGGAATGACCTTTACAAAATTTGATTGACAGGCCGTAAATGTCAATCAGAATGCCTCAAGCTTGAATAATTAGAAAACACAATCGCACTTTGACTTTCACGCTCTGGCGTTGGTCGGATGACAGGTCATTCTGACGTGGCCCATAATGGGATGTCATGAGATCTTTGTGTAGCGACGTAGAACACTGGGATATGATTTTAATGAGATTGCAATTTGTACATAGTCTTTGATGTGCTAAGCAAGTATATTTGCAAGAAAACATTCTGACCTGACCTGTAAAGGGAAGAAGTGTTTGAATGGCCTGAAGAAGGAGCAAGCATACACTCCAAAACGTTGTGTTATTCACAATAAAGAAGTTGACATCCATAAATCTTGCTTTTCTTATGTTTGAATGGCATTTAGTGGTGATACACATTATAGGTGAGGATTTATAGATGTCAACTTCTGTGTTATGTTCCGGAGTATAGTTACACTCATTGACCTGATGCACAGTATATTCTTACTTCTTTCTTATGAGATGAATGAGATGACAAAGGAGTAAGTAGATAATCCGAAAGATTGTGTTCTTCATAATAAAAATAAGGTGAGATCCATAAATTCTCACCTTTTATCTGTAAAGTGAAGTCTTCAAAACTTTGTGTAGCGACAGAGAGCACTGAGAATGGGAAATGTTTCTTATTTATCACTCAGTAAGATTTGCAAATGTTTACTGTGGAATTGATCTAAAAATGTATTAAATCCTTCATCCAAATCAATATTGAAATGATGGGAAAGACTTTTCATATATTTTTTTTGTTTTGTAGTAAATTTTATCATCACTGTATGATGAAACTGGGGAAGTTTTGGAAACTTTTGTGTCAATATATGTTACCATTTTACAAAAATTGTCTTTTTTGTGTGTTTGCTACATAAGCAAAATCCCACTGGAAACGGTTATGTACAAAATTGTAATTTACCTCCATCAAATGTACTAATTCCTAAAGAGACTGCAGAGACCAGCATATTGATAAAGTACCTCTCCCCCACCCCATACTCTCTCCCCACCCCTACTGACCCTCTACCCCCTCCTCTTTTAACAAAACAGTGAGTGAGTGAGTTTAGTTTTACACCGCTGTAAGCAATATTCCATCAATATCATGGAAGGGGACATCAGAAATGGGTTTCACACATTGTGCCCATGTGGGGAATTGAATTCAATTTCTTTGACATGTTTAAAAACAAATCTATTACTGATTATTCAAATATGGAGACAATTATATATAGAGAGAGTCAACTGAACAGCAACATGTGTGGCATATATAGTACCTATCAAAAGTTTAGACTCACTTAAAGCAAATACCATGCATGTGAACAGCTGCGTTTTAGTATAAAGTTTTGTTAAGAATTCGCTAATATTCACTGAGCTTCATCATTTATTGAACTCATGACAATAATTTTTCAACATTACGAATTTGTTTTGCAGTACATCAGTTCATGTGTAAACAGTACCTTTAAACAGTATGGAATAATTTGAAAATCTAGTTTAGAACAGTTGACTGAAGTAAGTGGCTACATTTACACTAGTGAGTCTAAACTTTTGATGAGTAGCATATTTTGTGCATTTACTTTGTACATAATCTAACTCTAAGTATACAGTTTGACAATGTCAAACTTCACATTGTCATACAAATTCGATCTCGAACATCAACAAGCGTTCCTTCTCGGAGAGGGGAATTAGAATTTGATCTTGTGTGCGGAATATAAAATGTTTATATCCTACAGGAGACCACAAACTGTATTGAATTTTGGAGAATTTCATCACTGGCCATTGCAGTTTCTAGTGTTGCTCACAGTTGGAGACAAAATTAAACCTAGAGGCAGTGGTCACAAATGTTTCTTTCATGCCTTGGAATGTTGAGATTTGGTTAATATAGTTCATAATTCATGTTCTATATTGAACCAAATATTACAGAAGATATTTTTAGTATTTTATCCCAGACAGAATATTGGAGGTTTTTCGCCAGTCTGAGATGTTGGTAGTTTATGATGTTATTGAACAAGGAAGGTGATCGATGGAATAATACGATTTTGTTATCATTGATTCCTTTAACTAATCGTTATAACCATCTAATCATAATTTAAATTATAATGGCTTTTATGTCTTTGATTAGGCACTAACAGAATTGTTAGTTTAACCTAATTGACAATGATGAAACATTTTAATTTCTATATTTGGTTCTGATAGAACAGTGTGACAAAAATATCTGTTGCCATTAGGATTTGACTGACTGACTGACTGAGTTTGGTTTTACGCCGCTTTTAGCAATATTCCAGCAACATCACGG